TGTGTGTGTGTGCGTGGCACCCAGACACATCTACTCCTTGACGTCCCGGACCTCGGCGGAGGCGGAGAGGCCCGTGTCTATCCCGTGCCTTGCAGCGGCTACCGCAGTGGGAGGTGTAAACGCGCGCTTGCGCACCAAGGCCGACTTAGCGCCGCTTGTAGATGCAGGGCTTGAGCAGACCGTCCGGGCCGTCGATCGACTGGGCCGGGCGACGGAACTGCTTCTTGGTCTTGGAGAAATCCACGCGAATGAAAAGCGAGTCACTGGAGCGCGCCCCGCCGTCGTTGGACTCCGGATCGGCGCCCTCCTTGTCACCGGAGGACACGGCCTCGGCAGCCCCCTTGGACCGGGGCTTGCCAGACTTGGAGCCATGTCGGGAGGCTGACACATCGGTCACCAGGCGCTCGATGCTGAAGCCGGTCTTGGCAATGGCATCGGCCCACTTTTGGGGGTTGTCGATGCGCGAAGAGACCTCGGCAATCCAGAGAAGACCGCTGGCGAAGGAGAAAAGAAAAACAACCCCATGTGTCAGAAAGGTGCCAGTCCTTTGCCCGCGCATACGATGATGGAAAGCATGCCAAGCGAGGAAAGCGGAAGAGGAGGAGGAGGGGGAGGGGGGAGAGGGGGAGGGGGGGGGGCAGTGTGTGGGAGCAGATGAGGCCCCAAAGGAGGACACGCCATGTTGCGGGGCACGTACTTCGGCCGCAGAACGCGATGGGCCTCCTGGATGAAGTCCAGCCAGTTGGTGCCCATGAGGGCCAGGGAAAAGATGGCCACATCGACCGAGTTGTCCGACAGCGGGACATTGCGCATATCGCAGGCGGTCACGCGCTCATTGTGTGCCACCATATCGAAGGAGTGGACGGTGGTCTGGGGGGCACGCGCGGCGATGGCCGCCTCACCGCAGCCGAAGTCCGCCACCACAATGTCCTTGGGCGCGGTCATCAAGTCCTCCACAAACAGGTCGATCGGGTTCACCGGCCAGCGCTCGACCTGCATGCGGAAGCCCTCATGGTAGTCACGGAAGAGGGAGTTGTCCTTCTGGAAGAGAGTGAACGCATCGCGCGAGCTCTTGGTGTACAACTGCTCGTTGAGCCAGCGGAAGCGCCCGCCCTGCAGGCGGCTGCTAAGGGACTTCTTCAGCGCATCAAGCCGGGGGTTGGACGGGGTGGCCTTCTGAAAGAGCGAAAGAGAGAGGGGGACCCACACGGACAGGGGGAGAGAAGGTCGGTCAGTGTACTCGAATCATACACACACACCCACACCCACACGCACACATGGGCAGTGGATAGAGGGCACATCGCAGGACGCACAGCGGAGGCGGGCTCAGCAGCAGCAGCAGCAGCAACTTGCTTGGGCGCACGGGCGGCCGGAGCAGCGGTACCGGGGGCCTGGGGAGCGGACTGGGCCTTCTTCAGCTTCTCGCGCAAGTTCTGGCGTAGGGCCTGGGCCTGGGTCATTTTGGCGGTGGTGGGGCCGGTCGATGGCCGAGGGGCCGCGGCGGCAGCAGCAGCAGCAGCAGCAGCGGTGGCGGCGGCAGCGGCGGCCGTGGCAGCGGCGGCGGCAGCGGCGGCGGCGGCCCCCTCGCGCTCACGCTGCTGCTCCTGCTTCTTGAGCTTCTGCCGGTCCTTCTGACGCAGGCGCAGCTTCTTGGCGGGGGGCTCCTCGGAGTCCTCGGTCAGAGTATCCGCCGCTGGCTTTTTGGCATCGGTCGGCTTGTCGCTGTCGTTGCGAACGCGCTTGCGCGGCGCCGGCTTGGCGGCGGGCTTGGCGGCGGGCTTGGCGGCGGGCTTGGTGGTGGGCTTGGCGACAGCACCGGCAGCGACAGTCTTAGCGGCGGCCGGCTTCTCGGGGAGGGCACCGCCGGCACGCATGATGCGGCGCTCACGGCGACTCGGGCGCGCGGCGCGTTCGGCCTGGGCCTTGCGCTCCTGGACCTGTTGCACCTGCTTGACGAGGTCGGCATCCGTGAGGCTAAGCTTGGTGATCCGGCCGGGGCGCGGGAGGGCGGTCTCAGTGGACATGATGGAGGGGGAGGGGGGAAGAGAGGGAGAGAAGGTGCAGCGACCTGAAAGGAGGGATCTGTGCAGCGGCGGATGTGGTTGATGGGGGGGGGGGGAGGGCGGGAGGGTGCGGGCGATCTGACTCTGCGGCCCACGGGAGAGATCTTGAAATGGCCAGCGCGTTGGGCGCGTGCGTGGGTGCGCACACCAGAATCACGCACAGCAAGCTGATAGCGCACGTGCTCGAAGGGAAAGAAACGCCATTCACCGGCAAACTGAATACCCATGACCTCAATCTTTGGGCTCCACGATCTTAATAGGATTAATTGGAGGACTAGAGCCACGCGATGGCGCCAGGACGGGCGGCATGTGCGTCGGGTGCATGGGTCTTGCCCGGGCCGCCCGTCACCCCGTGCGGGTGGACCTCGCTGAGCGCAGATGCCAACTTTCCAGGGCCTGCATCCCTGGCGGCCGACCATCCCCGGACGCCGGCCAGTCATCTTCGCATCCCATGTGTGCCGCCCTTCCTCTGTCTCCCCCGAGCTCCGGGCTCAGTCACACGCCGGCCGGCCGGGGGGGGGGGGGGGGGGGCGCGAAGTTGGGGTCAAAAATTGTTCCCTGGCCCCGAGCGCGAACCGTGAGAGAGAGAGAGAGGGGCCGGCGGTTTCCAAACAATAACAAGCGCCCGAGTGCAACTTGCTCCCCCTGCCCCGCGCATTCTTCCGTGACTTCCCCCGGTTGATCCGGGGCACGGGTGGACGATGAGACGGATGCGCGCATGCCCCCCACGCCTCCCCCTCATCCTCGATTTCCTCAGGCCTTTGTCCGTGTGTTCTCATTCGGCGCTGTGAACGAGAGGGCCTAGGGAAGGGGAGCGCGGGGGGCCGGGGGCCGGGGGGGGGGGGGAATTCTCGAGGAGAGAAGTCCCTGCCACCAGCAAGCGTGGGAAGCAGCCGGAAGCCAGCCTGTCGTGTGGTAGGCCCTCGGCCCTGCGCGACGTGGACCCCGGGCCACCGGACCCGGCGGGGGCGTTCCAATCGGCGGCGCCTTTCTCCCGAAAAGTATCTCCGGGTCATGGGGGTGGTCATCGTCGCGGCCGCACCCCTGAGCCAACAGGCCCGCACACCCCTCGCCCAAAGACACCCGGACGCTGACATACACACGCACGCACACACACACACACACACACTCGCAGCAGCCAGACAGGCCGACGAGACAGGGCACCCGCCGGTTGCCACCCCAGCACCGGTACCCCGAAACCCCTCGCCCAGAGCCTTGTAGGTTCTACACACCTAAATGCAATAGCGCGTCCGGGGCAGTCCTTCCGCCTCACCCCGGGGGGACGGGGGGGAGACATGCGCGCAGGCGAGGGCCGGACTCCCGTCCTACTTGGCATGTGTCAGCTGGGAGGCCGTATCGCATTTATCGCGGTCCCGGGACGATTACCGCGGCCCACGGCGGAATGCATGGGTGCACCGATCCCGTACATCTCTCGGTGTGTTGGTTCTCCGGTTTTCCTCGGCCCGCCAGGGCGGCGAGCCGAATGCTGGGTGGGTCAGAGCGGGGGGGGGGGGAATCCGGGCCGCGGGGGAGTGGCACTCCGTGCTGCTTAGAGCCCGGGGGCGCTGGACTCGGTTCGCGCATGTCCTGTAGAGCGGGAGGGGGGGGGGGGGTGCCGGCCGTGCCAAGGGCGCATGCGATCTTGTGTGGATGCTTGAGGGCGGCCGGGTGTGCCTTTTTGCTTCACCTGGTCCCTCCCTCCTCAAGACTATGCGGGTGAGAGGGGCCGACTACCTGACGTTGGAGGGGCTTTTCCAGGGCTCCAGGGGGGCATGTTCGGGCTCAGGTCTTCGCGGGAGGGGGGGGGGGACAGGAGACGGGCAAAGGGAGCATGACTAATGAGGAGGCCCCAGCTGCCCTTCTTTCGCCCCGGCCCTGTGCGTGGCTGGAGCTGGTTTCGTGACGGGGTCCGCTGGCGCCCCCTGCCCCCTTCGGACCCGTGCGGATGGACCTTCTCGAGGAGGTGGGGGCCGCCGCAGCAGGCCAACGACCGACAGGGGAAGA